CGGACCAACTGGGTTTCTTTTGGTTTGATTTTACATAAGGTCACTGGATACGGTGCCTTCTGATGACATTTCCATCTTCTGAGATGCTACAACACACACACACACACACACACACACCCAACAGCATATAAGAACGCAGCATTGAACTATGGGTTTTCAGGATACCTATGTCACATGTGTGGGTTGTTGGTTTTCATTTTAGAAGGATGACCACTTCTGACCACACCCAGTTCATAGGGAGTTGTCTCTGGCTTGCTAACCCAGTCTTCGGTATGTGCAGACACTGTCCGCTTCCATAGACTTCCTGGGGTTAGTATTGCACTTCCTTTGGTCTTTTAGGAAGATAGGAAACTAGACGGTGAGCCCACCAATGCCTGTCGAGGTAGGAAGCGCCATCCTCCTAGTGAGAGCTTGCTGAGCTCCTAAATGAGCTCTCTAATTGCTTGGGGAATTGGGAATGTTTGCATAGGGCATCGTTTGTATGTAAGAGAGTTTTTTTGTCATTTCTAACTAGAATATTGGTGCCCAAACTCTACCCGTTGATGTGGGCCACAATAGATTGTTTTCTGAGCCCAAGGAGCTCTGGTGCCCTTGTGGGCTAGACATTGGGCTACTCGCCACAAGCTCAGTGGTTCAAACCCAGCAGCCACTGCGTGGGAGAAACACGAAGCTGTCTGATTCCATCAAGACTTACCATCTTAGAAGCCCTGTATCAGGTCACTATGCATTGGAACCAGCTTGATGGTGGTGGGTAACAGGTGAGAGGTTGGGCCATGCTTGTTTTCTAATAGAGCTCTGGGCCACCAAAATCTCCATTGGCAAAGGTCCCCCCAGTAGGGGTGGAAATTGAATGGGAAAAGACCTGAACAAGCTTTCTAGAGTCATGAAAATGCATTCTGTCTTATACAGGGATGGGCTATATGGAAATATCTGTCAAAGCTTAATGAAATGTATACTTCAAGATACATACATTTTGTAGTATTAATCTTTTTTCACTTTCTTAAAAAAAAAATCTTTCTGGCTGCGTAACCTGATGTTAAAATGCTGTGTTAGTCCAGGTAGACTAGAGAAACAAATTCACAGACACTCATATGTGTATAAGAAAGAGCTTTATATACAAGAGCAATTGAATATTGAGAAAATATCACAGCCCAGTCAAGATCAAGTCTATAAGTCCCTTATTAGCCCATATGTCTGATACCAATCTATAAATTCCTCTTCAGACTCATGAAACACATGCAATGAGACCGAATGCAGGAAGATCACAGGCCAGTGGGTGGGAAGTCTTGTGGATCCAGTTGCGTTGTAAGCCTCTCAGTGCTAGCAGGGGTCTCCACGCCTCTCTCCATGTGTCTTCTCCACAGGGACGTCTCACAGGGAGTGAGCCTGCTCCCTGCCTCCAGCGAGGAATACAGGAGTTCCCAGAATCCTCAGTAGAAGGACATGCCCACACAGAGGCCTCATTGGCTATCACCTGATTGACAGGCTAGACTCCTCCCCTATACTCTTAATCCTCAAATTGATACCAGATTATGTAACTACCACAAATGCTAAGAATCCAATTTTATTTTGCTCATGGGATTTATGTACCCTCAATATTGTATGTAAAATACTTAAATGTGTCTCTTGATATTTTTTTCTAGAAAGGAGGACTATAATTTCCAAAGATATTTATGAGCCTTTTCCTCTAAAAATACAGTTAAACGTCACTGCTTTTGAGGTTAAGCTTCCATATCCCTGAAGTTTGCTTTTTTCTCTTGATAATATACTTAATCTATGTAGACAAGGTGCTGGGGCCAACAGAAGAACCTCTAACTATATAGAATTAAATTGGAAGTTCATACCACTAATGTATCCTCAAAGGATATATTAGTAAAAACCTTAATGATTTGAAAATTTTACTTCAGAATAATCCATACCTCATAGAATACACTTTAGTTTTGTTGGTTTTTTAATTCCACAGTAATCATGGAGATTCTATATTTTTAACTTAAGAGGACAAAAACAAATCAGGTTTAATACAGATTATATAGAAGGAAATAAGTAATAGAAATTACATCAGAAATCAATGCAATAAAAAAAGATATCTAAGGTGTAAAAGAAAGCCAAGAGTTGGTTCTCTGGAAGGATTAGTAAATTGTTAAAACCTTAAAAGGACTTTTCCGGAGCAAAGATGGTAAATCATTAATTATCAATTTCAAGCAAAAAAGTACTGTGTCTGCTTAGCTCAAATACAGTACAAGTTTAATTAAAAATTAGTGTGATAAAGTTTCCGACAATTATTTCACCAACTTAAATAACTGCACATTTCTTATAATATAACTTGGTAAAATGGACACAAAAAATCACGGGAATAGCTTCAAAACTATGTTAGTCTGAGTACATTAGAAAAACAAATCCATAGAATCTCATATGTATGAGAGTGTTTTATATAAAGATGATACACATCAAGAAAACATCCAAACCCAGTGCTGCCCAAGCCCACAAGTCCAACATTAACCCATATGGCCGGCACCAATCCACAAAGTCCTCCTCCATCTCACAAAACATGTGCAAGACACAAAACACATGACTGCAAGAGGAAGGCCAAATCAGTGAACATGTAAGCATCTCAGCACTGGCAGGGGTCTCCACACGGGTGCTCCAGCACCCAGGGCTGCATCGGGGTAGGTCCATGTGGCTTCTCCTCAGGGATGTCTTGTAGGAAGTGAGCCTTGTCAGCTGAAGCAGGGAACTGGCTAAGACAGCTGCACCCTGGTCCGACCATCACAAAGCAAGAGACCTCCCTCTGTCCTTCAATTAACCCTACATGTGTTTATCGGCAAGGTTGGCACAATTAACTATCTCAATAACTATTGGGAAATTGAATATGGGATTTAAAGAAATCCTTCCATTAAGAGCCAGATAGTATCACTGGTGAATTTCATTAAAAAGTTTAGGAATGTCTTAATATCAATTATACCCACTTTCTTTCAGAAGACAGGAAGAAGGAATGTTTCTTAATTCATGTTATGTGGTCAGCATTATCCTTATGATAAAATCTGACAAGGACAGTACATGGAAAAATTACAATATACCCCATAAAAAAACAAATATCCCTATAAAATATTTAATAAATGAAATCCATAAACATCTAAAAGGAATAAGCAATAGGCTTTATTTCAGAAATGCAAGCTTGGTTGGTAATTTGAAAATGAAGCACTGTAGTTCACTCTATGAACAGAATAAAGGAGGAACACCTAGCAATCATCTTATTAATGCCGAGAAGGCATTGACAGAATCTAACATATGTTCATCACAGAAGTGCTCTTCGAGCTCCACATGGAGATGTGCTCCAGCTCCGGAAAGCACATCTATGAACGCCGGACCAATCTCCTGCCACCGAGCTGGTTCGGACTCATAGCAACCCTCTGTAGGGGTTCCGAGTCATCACTGGAACAGGTGGCCTCATCCCTCTCCTGCGGAGTGGCTTGTGTGTTTGAACCACTAACCTACAGTTAGCCACAGCCAATGCTTAATCTGCAGTGCCACTAAGCTTCCTTTAAAAAAGTCTAAACATAACATAGTTAGTGCAAAAAGGTTGAGAATGTTTTCCTGTAAGATTGGGAACAAGAAAAGGATATCATATGTTCTTCCCACTTTTGAGGCAGCATTGTACCAAAGGTGCAATAAAGGAAGAAACATGAAAGAAAGAAAGAAATATTGGAAAGGAAAAAACCCTCATTTGTAGACATGTTTGTTTACAGGACAATCCTAGGGCATCTGTCAGACAACTACTAGCAGGCTAGGATTAGTAAGTGATGGGGGCGGTGGAGGGGTGGGGAGTTAGGGTCTCCAACCACCAGTATAGCTTTGTTTATTTCTCTATTTAGTTCTGTCAGCATTTGTTTCAGTCATCTCTCTCACTGCCATCCAGTCACTTCCAGCTCACAGCAACCCTGTGGGACAGGGTAGAACCACCCTGTGAATTCCCAAGACTGTCACTCTTCTCCGGAGTGAATGCTTCATCTTTCTCCAGCAGAGTGGCTAGTGGTTTTGAACTGCCAACCCCCCACTATGTAACCACTATGTTGTTATTCAATTCATGCATGTTTATGATTTCTTAATTTTCTGGACGAATTCACTCCTGCCATTATGAAATGTCTGTCCTCATATCCCACAGTACTCCTTGTCTTGAAGTCTACTGTCTTATACTGATTGAATAGTATATGTTGTCTTCCTAGACCTGTCACTTTAATTTAAAATGGGTAGTTCTCTTCTTAGTGAGCTCTAGCTGCCTGACTCGACAGGATTGCAGAATTCTTAGGGAAAATTGGATTAGCGTAGATCTTACCCAGTGCACTTCCCAACTTTCCAGAATTGAATACTGACTTCTTTTGGTTGGTTTCCAATGTTTCAAATAATTGGGTATGTGTGTTTGCATCTTGTAGACAGACAGGTGGGTAGGTGGGTGGATAGATGGATGGATGGATGGATAGATGGATGGATGGATAGATAGATGATAGATAGATAGATAGATAGATAGATAGATAGATAGATAGATGATAGATAGATAATACAGCTACAATAAGTAGACTCTGACTTACAGTAGTCCCGGGTACAACAGAACAAAGCATTGCCCACTCCTGCATCATCCTCACATTTGCATGCTCTAGTTCATCATTGCCCCAATCCATATCCCTCGGTGTTTCTTTCTCTGGTCCTGGACTTCACCAGTTATGATTTCCTCTTTCAGTGATTGATCCCTCCTGATGATTTGCCCAAAGTAAACTAGTTATGCGGTGTTATTTCATGATCCATAAGGTTTTCATTGGTTATTTTTTAAAAGTAGGTCAGCAGGTCCTTTATCCAAGTCTTACTGTAGAAGCACCACTGAAACCTGTCCAATATGGGTGACCCTGCTGGTACCTGAAATATCAGTGATTTACCTTCCAGCATCCCAGCAACATGCAAACCACAAACTGTACAACAGATCGACAAACTGGCTGGCACACACACACACACACACACGCACACACGCAACCCTGTTATAAAAACATTGTAATGTTTATATTATGTATTATATAGCAAAGAATTCATATGCACACTCATATATAGGAAATGTGTGTGTGTGTGTGTGTGTGTGTGTGTGTACACAGATTACATTGCTGTCAATTCAATTGTGACTCATAGCAACCATGAAAAATAGAGTTGAGCTGCCCAGGGAATGTCTAAGGCTGTAAATCTTTGTAGAAGCTGCCTGCCACATCTTTCTCCTTCGGAATGATTGGCTGAGCTTTTAACTACTCTGTCATCTCTGACAGTCCTAATTATCTCAAAGTCTATTTTGATATAAATGTAGTTGGACCAGCTTTCTTATGCTAACTGTATGAATTCTGTATTTTTCTCTTGCCTTTATTTTCTGTCTTTCTGTTTACAGTGCATGTGTGTCTATGTAGGTATATCGGTATCCCATGATTTTTAATTGTTCTCTGCAAAACATTATTGCAAGACAAGCTATTTTGCCATTGTCAATCTGAAAATATTTGTGTACCATGTATTCTAAGCATCGAAGCACAGTTTCGCATATTTTCTTCAGCTGAAAAATTATCTAACTGACATTCTTCACTTTCTACGTTGTGCTTCAGAATATATAAGTTGGGTATATGCCTGCTCTTTGTGTTTTTTCCTTCACGGAAACGGTTTTTAAGTGCTTGACTCTATGTGGGTCCCTTAGGTTTTTTCACTCACTGTAAATAAATTTAAATGAGGACAGTGGGGATAAAAATGAGCCTTTATCTAGACATTTCGAAAATATTTAGTTAGCATCTATTGTCTTTGTCCTTCAGAAGTATAACATCATAATTTTAAACAGGCATTTTCCTCATCAGCCAGTTTTATCAGTTATTTTATTGAGTCATTTTTTTCCCTAAGTTTTTTCCCCCAGCCTTCAAACATTGGCCTGTCTAAGTCTTTATATTTCTTGCCTGCAAAGCAGCAACAATTTATAGTCTCAGATAGTATCAAAAGGAAATGTATTCAGCTTTTTTCTTTAATTTTTTCAGACCTCGTTTTATCTGATGTACTTGAACTATATTGGGGACTGATTCAGATGAGATCTTGTCATCCCTCATCATAAGTGGGATCCCCTTCCTGGATGGAGTAACTAATCATTCCCCACGAGTCCCATTTCACCCAGTCAGTATGTTTAATACTGTTCCGTCCTACTCAGCTTTTCCCAGCTGGACTCTGCTCATCCCATGCACACTGTGGCTGGCCTCCCTTTCTCAGTTTGGAGCACTGGCCGCTGTGACTTTATGACCATCTATCTGTCGGTCGACTTTTTACCAACCTCTGGCTCTCTGGCTTCACATTTTATGGTGCCACTTTTATACTGACAGATAAATGTTAGAGTGATGATTCTGCAAACAGAATGTCAGGACATCAGATGTTATTTTGGAGCTTAAGTAAACTTGAAAAATCGGGCTTTGTAATAATGATATTAATATAAACAGCATATATTAACTCAGTATTGGACAAGTTCTACAGGTAGGGGTTTTTTTAGGTTACATGGTGTGAGCCAGGGAATAGGTGACCTCTTTTAAGCAAGTGGGCCAGGATGAAATAGAGACCTTCTAAAGATCCTTGGTGGTGCTGTGGATTAGGCAAAGGGCTGCTAGCCACAAGCCCTAACCTACCAGCTGTTCGGAGGGGAAAAGATGAGGCTGTCTGCTCCCGTAGATTAATAGTATCAGAAACTCTAAGAACTAGTTGGAATTAACTCGATGGCAGTGGGCTTGGTTTAGTTATGGCTTTATCAGCCCTATGTTCTAAGCTTGTCCAGAATGACCCTACCCCAAGCATGGGGTCTTGAGTAGGTTGCTTGTGCAGACGATGTGATGTTCTCTCAGATGACTCCCATGGTGGGGAACCATTATCTCATACATTATTGACAGTGAGAATTTTGTCCAACCGTTTTATTGGCATATAATTCAGATCACATAATTCAATAGTTCGATCCCATCAGGAAGAGTTGTACAGTCACCACCACAATCTGTTTTATAGTATTGTCTTCATTCTCGTACTCAGCATTATTATCTCCCCATTCCCACCCCCAGCCAGCAGTGACGATTGTTTGTTGTTGTTGTTTTTTAAGTAGCTTCACTGGATTCTGAATAGTTCACTCATTAGTGGCTATGGGGATATTTTAGAGTGGATTCATTGGATCCTGCATATTTTATTAATTGGAGCTGCCATCAGTTTTAGTCTCACTGATAGAGCACTCCATAGATTTTCCAATGCTGTAATCCTTTACGAGAGCAGACAGCCTCATCTTTCTTCTGCAGAGTGGCAGGTGGATTTGAACCACCAATCTTGAGGCTAGGAGCTCAGTGCCTACCCACTAGCTTCACCAGGATGCATATTTTTTGCGTGGCTCATTGGAACCTGAATCCCTTGTCTTTACCTTACAGGATGCAGGCTGGCTGGTGGGAGTGAAGGAATCAGACTGGCTTCAGCACAAAGACCTTGCTGCCTACAAAGGCCTCTTCCCAGAGAACTTCACCCGACGCCTGGATTAGGGCCACAAGTATTACAGGAAGTGCTTGCCTGCTGGGTTTTTAAACCTTCACAGAAACCCGATGCGTTCACTTTTGCTATTATACTATTAGTGAGTTACAGACTGATGCCAGACAAAGCTTGGAAAGACATCTCCAAGGAGCATGTGTGCAAAACAGTATAAAAAGAAAAAAAAAAGTGAATTAAGGGGGGGAAAACGTCCTCACTTGTTCCCACAAGTAATTAGTAATTGGTAATTAGGTTGTTTGTGCTTTGTCCGAGCTGTGGTGACTCTTGTACTTGATCCCCACCCCCACCACTTCTGAATTAGCTTCCTCCAGACGAGGTCCAGAACTGCCCCGCACCAAGTGTGGTCCTGAGTTGCTGCCCGTGCAGAAGCCGTGATGAGTTCTCCTGTAGTCCAAGGTGTTCTGAACCCCGCCCCCCGCGGATGTGAGCACGTGCGCTCCCCCAGCCCTTCTCGAGTTTACTGTGTTCAAAACTAAATTGCTGCAACGTTTTCCATGTTCTTTACCAATGCAACTGCATATGTATGTGGATATATGCACACACAGTCACACAGGCTGGTTCCCATGCCTCCTGGATCTATGCGTATGCGGAAGTCTACATACGCATAGCTGAATCTTCTCCTTCTGATCTTGGCCTTTGCCGCTCCAGTGTCATTGATACATGCATTGCTCTTCTTCTGTCTGGCATTACAATTGCAGTTTTGCCTCCGGGCAAATCCAGCCATCTCATTGCCAAAACAGTGGACAGTATCTGTGTTTGTAATGTGCATTCTGCAGGGTGAGATGACGAACAGCAAGTCAGAGCGGCAGCTCCCTTTAGAGACAGCAGTGCCTGCTTATCTTGAAGTCCAGCTGCTGGAGCTGGAGATAGACCGGTGGGATGGCCAGCTAAGTAGTCTTAGTGTCTATTTTGTTGAGACTGGCTAGATAATGGAGCATATAAATCCACCCCCATCCCCACCCCACAAAAGAAAAGAACACTATTTAAAAAAAAAAAAAGCTCCTATATATTTTCACCTCTTTCTATTTATGCAACTCATCTTCACGGGTTGTCCTAAAATAAGATAGCTGATGTATGCTGTATCAACAAGTCATCTGTAACAATTATGTTTTCAGTGTTGTGTCATTTCAAATAAACCTTTGGTGAACTCCAAGCTTTAGCCTAATTCCTTCTTATGAGTCATTGTCTTGGAAATCTTGCTTCAGGCAGATGTTCTCCTGGAAGTTGTTATTTGTGCAGAAATATGCTTGTTAGCCCTCAGGGGCTGTCGTCCGCAGCCCCGCCTTCCTTCCCCAGCCTCTTCATTCAGTCATTGCTGGGTCCCGCGGTGGCCGCTGATGTCCAGCAGCTACTGGAGCACAAATAACAGCTGCAGAATGAAGGACCAGCCCGGGTCTATCAGTCTCTCACTGCCTTCATAAGCAGCAGTTCCTTCTCACACCACCTTCATTTCTTGTTCACTTTTCTTTCTGTCATATGCATGTTTGCAGGTGCATTTACAAAGTGAGCGAGAGGTCAGATGTAATACAAAAGTCCATTCATCAGGTCATTGGTTACAGACGATCACTTTTAAAACAATAACCTTTCATTTGATTTAGACTCCTTCCTGCTAATGCAATTCTGCACCCAGGGTGAGCTGATCAAAAATGTGCATTCTTAGACTTCTAAATGTGGTCCACATCTCAGATTCATGGTTGGACATTCCCTAGTGGATGGCTGATGTTGATGGTTTACGTGCTAATAGAGAAAGAGCTGTTATGGACGCGAGGTTTTTCCAAGGGAAAATTTATAAGGAAGCTGCGGCTTCATGAATGCTAGTACCAAAGAAATTGCATGCAGCGCCCAGCCCTGTCACTGAAAATTCAGCAAATTAAATGCAGTACGATTTATTGCAGAAGTGCTGACCTTGAGATGTGCAGGTGTTACAAGCTACAGCTGGGGGGAAATAAAGGACCTTAATTGGAAAATGCACCCATCCTCTCGAACGGTGATCACCACAGCTGAATCAGCTACTCTGAAACTCCCGCCCCTGCTCCGGACTGTGGTTGGGGCCGTCGGGGCCATCCCTAATCACAGAGCAGTACTGTCCCCGCGGCTTTGTGGGACACAAATCTCAGCAGATCGCCAGATTGTGTTTCCCGTTGGAGTCACTAGGAGATTTGAACCACTGACCTTTTAGTTAGCAACCAAGTGATAAACCATTGTGCCACCAAGGAATTTTCAGAGTACACACCATAGCTGGACCTTGTCTAGATGCCTGCTCACTGGAACCCACCCCTGGTGAACTTAACAGGTTATTTCAAACTGACAGGGTTTAACTTTGCTATATTGTCTTGGTTTACAGTCCTTTGTTTTTGTTTTAGGTGGGGGGAAGGTTTTCATTTGTTTTTGTAAACACCTAATACAAGCGATCAGCTTTTGTTGCTATTGCAGGAATTTTCAAGACCCGTGCATCCTCAGTGTATGGAAAGCCGGAGGGATGAGGGAATAGGGAGAGTTGTCATCACAGGTGTCTACAGATATGAAGTGGATGTAGTTTATTGGAGAGGTTTTCTAAATGGTTTCAAGTCTACACCACCCGACACGTTTCTGTAGTTCCTAGCGTGGAGGCTCTCTGCCCTTTCACGTGGCCTTTCTTGCCAGCCTGCTATGGGCACTTGATCTGCTCAGGTAGGAGGCAATGCGTAGATACATTGATTCCAAACAGCCCTGGCCCAGGAACTCCACTGGCCCCTTCTCTCCCCAGTGTAAGGTTCCTGTGGCATGTGGACCCTCAAATAGTTACAAAGTGGTTCTTATTAAATATATACTCTCTGTCTTTCTCCACAATTCCACCCGTAGTCCCTCATTTCCCCTGAGTGATGTATTTGAGGGTAGGTCAAAAAGTGTTGCTATTAAACCATAAAGACCCTTTTTAAACAAAGCTATCAAAATGTGAAGCTTTTGTTGCTCGGTAGACCCGCTATCCGAGCCAATATGCTTCTGAGGCGATGTCTCCTTCTCTCTCACACTTGCCCAAATGATTCTGCGCTCTTCAATTTATAGCATGTTAAAAACAGTCATTTTGGCACTCTGCAGGACTCAAATTACATTCCTTTGAAATGTTCTTTGAGTTTAGGGGAACAACCACAAAAAGTCGGAAGGGCCAGACCAGAGCTGGAGGGTAGATTCTCGAAGAACCTACCCCAGGACTGCCCTGGCTGCCCGTGGAGAAGCTGCAGGGCGTTGTTGTGAAGGAAAAGGCAATGCCTTGGTAGTTTTCCTGGCCTTTCTCTCACCAATGGAGTTTTCCTTTTTTTTTTTTTTTTTAAGCCTCTTCTATCTTCTATCCTTCAAGAAATTATGTCATTTTGTAATTCCACAAAGAGCAGGTCTCTAACCTTTCAAGTGGACCTCTCTACCTTGAATTTAACTGATCCAGCAGATCCGCTCAGAAGCCACCGTGTGGATGGCACCTTGATTTTGAAGGCACCTTACCAAGGCGAAAGGCACCCCTCATGGTATAGAGGTTACATGATGGGCTGTTAACCACAAGGTCAGTAGTTCACACCCACCAATTGCTCCCCAGGAGGAAGATGAGGCTTTCTATTCCCATAATGAATCTTGGAAATCCTCATGGGCAGTTCTACCCCTTACCCTGTAGGGTCACCATAACTCAGCAGGGACTCGATGGCAGTGAGTTTAGTTTCTGTTTTTTTTAATGAGACTGAAACAGGTGAATTACTGGGAAGAGTTGTTGGCAGCCATCCACCGAGTGTAGAGATGCACTGAAAGATGTATTTGTTGTAAACCCATGCAGATATGAATTGGAATCCTAGTAGCAGTATTTTTTTACTTGTCCTTAAATAATTGCAAAGCAAAGTTCCCTGGATATTGATTTCTTAATAACATTGCAGTAAAATCAAGAGCCTGAAAGCTTAGAAAGCTTCATGCAATTTCTGTCCACTGGAGCCAGGGCTGAGCTCTCTGAGTTGGCACCCAGCTGGAGCCCCACTCCCTTCCCGACTTGGGCTGCCAGGAAAGAGGGAGCCCCCTTTTAGTTGTCACCAGATGCCATGAAGCCCCCTCCAAGTCATGGTTCAGAGTAGAACTGTGCTTTCTGTTTTCAGTGACTGATTCTTCAGACATAGACCACCAGGCCTTTCTTCCTAAGCTCCTTTGAGTAGATTCCACCCTCCAACCTTTCAGTTAGCAGCCACATATGTCAACTGTTTGTACTACTCAAACATTCCTTATCACACAAGAAAGCCAAGGTTCAGCTATTCGGCAAGTACCAGCCTGACCCCTCTGTCTATTCTGTTGATCCATTAAAGATCCTCCTGAATCTCTGTCAAAGTTCTGAGAAAACCACAGATTTAAAAGTTGAATGATTGAAGCCTCGGAGTTTATTCCTCACAAATCCTAAGACTTAACCCTTCGAAGCCTTAGAAGTAGACTGAGTTGCCTGGTTGAGGACCTCACTGCTTTTAAACGGGAGCCCAAGCTGCCTTCGAGTTTTTTCTTGGAACCCAATTAAAAATTTTAACAAGCATGAAGGGCCAGCCCTTGGAGGCCTGGTCACTGGTTACACAATATCGCTACACAGTGGTGTAGCAACTCTCCCACAAGCCTGCAGCCTCTTCCTAAGACAGACGAAATGGAGACTCGTATTTGTTAGCTGCGTGGAGAAGACGGAACCAGTCTTCTCTTGGCAAACAAAATTGAGCACCATGTGGTACTGCTAGCACAATTTCGGCCCTTGCCTGCCTTCTACCTATTTTATGATTGCTCAGTCGTGCACTGCCCCAGGATGAGGCAAGCCCTGGCTATTCATGGGCAGCATGGATTTGATAAGTGCCATCTATGGGTTGTATATATCTATATATATGCACAATAAAATCTGCTTGAATGCTTTTAACGTCCCTCCAAATATTTTGTGACTCACTGGTTATTCTTTTCCATTTCTAAGATTGCAGTATGTCAACATATATTGACTTGATGCAAAACATCATTGAGACATGCAAATTAAATCCATGCAAATCAAGAAGAAGGTGAGATACCTTGAAGCTATTTCAGAGGCTTCCTCTCGGTCTCTTACCATCATGGATTACCAAATCCCTGTGATATCAGTTCCAACACACGGGAGATTTATAGCTGTGGGTTGAGTCAGAATTATTTATCCCCTCTCACCCTGTGCCACCCAGAACAAGGGCAGGGCATCTGAAGTGAGCGCAGAAGAAACCTTTCCTGACACATGCGAATGCCATGTAAATGAGTCCGCCACAGAGGCCTTGTCACTGGCTAATACCATCCCATCCTCCCCACCAATAAGTATCATCAAACTCTATCTTTTTATGCTGTTATATCTGCTCTGTAACAACTGACCAGTAACCACCAAATTATTTGTGTGGTGTTTGGAAATGCTACTAAGCTTTTCCAAAACTCTCCCTGTGATTCCAAGATACCTATTTTTCTTCTCTGCTCTCTGATCGTTCCTTCACTATCCCTTATACTAAATTTTCTGCCTTCTCCCTATGAGTGTTTGGGGTGGGAGTCACGGGCGGGTGGGGCAGCAGACCATTTCTAGCCCTCAGTTCAGGTTTCAGGTGTCCAAAAGATGCTTCTGTTGGATTGTCCTATTATTTCTTCCAAGCCAGTCTGTTCATTTACTCATTAAACATTTGTCAAGCAAGCTCCTGCTAAGTGTCAGTTACTGTACACTGGACTATGATTAATAAATAGCACATCTTGGGTTTAAAGGAACTTTTTCTAAATCTTGCCACATATCTAAGACACAACTACATGTTTCTGCTGTCCCAGAACAAAATAATAAGAATGTAACCAGGAGCTCAGAGAATAAACATGTCTACAGGAGCCACATTTTCATCTACCCCATATCCAGAAGGACTAGATAGTGCCCTGTTCGCAGCACTCGCCATCTGTCCAAGGTCGCAATAATTGATCCTGGATAGAATGGGAGAAAATTATGGAGCAGAACTCACATTCCTATTTACCCAAGAAGATGCCAGGCAAATGGGAACAATCGAGAACAGAGGACTTCTTCTACTACCACTCTGTGACATTCTTTAAAGATAGATGCCTGTCTCTTAAAATCAACTTTTAGCAAAATGATGAGTGGCAAAGAAAACAAAGGATTGGTGCCCTACTTTAAAA